ATTCTTGTTTTCATGTTATAATCTGTAGTCATTCTAGAATGAAAGAAGCATGATTTATCTTTATTTCCTAATTTTTGTATTGAGGTTATGAAGTTGGTCAAATCAAACCAACCCATACAGAGATAGAGTAGTGGAAATAACAGATAAAATATAAAGCTGTAATGCTTTACCAATAACCTGCAAAATTTTGTAAAAGCATGCATACATTATCAAAAATCATAGTACAATTAATCTCATGGATACTTTCGTGTTTACAAGCTGGGTGAATTCCACCTAGGCCATAATGAAAGGGTTAAGTTGTTTCAGCCCTGTTACAATGTTACCCTCTAAAGAATAAAAGTGTCCCTACTTTTTTACTTTTGAAATCTTGTAACCCCGCTTGTGTGACATATCAATCACTATGCTAAGATCCTTTTCTTCAGTCATACTACAGAGTAGGTTCCACCTATATTAAATATGTGATCTAAATTATGATAACCCAAATGCATTATTTTGCACTTCTGTAATTAAAGGTCATTTGCCAAACATTTGTCCAACTTGCCAATTCACCTAAGTCATTCTGTAATACCTCAACATCCTCAATACACCTAGAAATATCTTAAGTGTTTAATGACATCAGCATACTTTAATAATCTACTAATTATGCTACTATCAATATCATTGACATAAATAAAAATGAGTAAAGGCCAAAGAAGTAAACTCCTGAGGTACTCAACTGGTAAAAAAAAAAGAGTCCAGTTTGACTGCACACCATTGATAACCTTTTGCTTTGTTCCCACCCTACAATCAAATTATCTAACATAGTCTTTCTCTAACCTCTACTTTTCATTGTGATTTTCTTAGCTGTCTTTTATGTGGCAAAATTTTAAAATATTTTTGAAAATATAAGTACACCAAGTCCACACCCTTTCAATCATCCAAATAACAAGTACCATCCTTGAAAAAAGAATAACAAATTAGTAACATACAATTTTCCTTTGTTGAAGCCATACTGGCTTTAATTTATAAAAATGTATTTCAATAAATAATGTTGCGAAGTTTCTTTTAGTTTTATCACACCTCCTAGAATATTTCCCACTAAAAAAAGAGAACTAACTGGCATGGTAACTAAACAAGTAGACACCTAAAAAAATGAGGAAGTAGGACATTTAGACACCTAATAATTTTAGAGAGGTGTTAAAACCTTTAAAACTTCACAACATACTTAAAATACATACAATGGAGTAAATTAAACTGGTAATATTGTAGGCCTAGATATATACAGATCATATAATGGAGAAAATTTAAACTGGTAATATAGTAGGCCTTAATCAATACAATTCATATAATGGAGAAAATGACAGGTTTGAATTCACGTGGTCAGTTTCCTAATCATTTGCATTCATGATAGCATGAAAACTAAACCATGTCCTTATTAATGATGTAATTTATGACAAGATAAATGGGATCCCCACTGGGTCCAACAACAGCCAATAGTTTAATATGCTATCATATAATAAAGTAAATTAAACTGGTAATGTATTAGGCCTAGATATACACAGGTCTTTTATATGCTTATATGTTGTACGTGGAACATATCCGTTGTAATTATTGTTATATTTTGTAATAAATAAGTGGTGTCTAAATGTCCTGTTTTCAACTGGCATATAATTTGCAGGACAACATTTATCACCCCAATTTAAAAATAGGAGAAATATTAGAAAACCTCCAATCCTTAAGCACCTACTCATTTTCTACTGACCTACTAAAAATAAAAGAGAAAGAGGTTCTCATATTTGAACTTTGATCTCTTTAAAACCCGAAGAAACACTCTGTCTGCCCGTATACTTTATTTTTAAATCATTTAATATTTTTACTTACCACTAAGGGATTATATCTATGTGATTCAAGTCTAAGCACAGACCCTTGAAGCACACCACTAATGACAAAGGTCCAATTTAACTAAACTATTAATAAAAACTACAATCCTATTAACCAGACTTTCCACAACCCCATTGGCCTATAAATTATATTTATTTAAAAGCTATAGTTATTTACTTCTAAAACAAGTTGAACAAACAGAAAAATATTCAAATGACTCAAATTCTTATTTTATTGACTATTTGTGTTCAGTTTATCATATTCAAACAATGCAGAAAATAACTTTAGGCCATACTTAGAAAAAAAAAAGAAGAATTGCTTTGTGGAAGTGAGTGAGGTATATATTATTATGTCTTATGATTAAGACTGAACTCTTCCAACTTAGTCTCATGTTAACTGCCAATTGTAAAAATTGTTTTCATGGAAATAGTATTTCAGTTTGGCCAGGGCTTGAAACCAGGACCTCCAGCTTGCAGTAGCACTTCCAACAAGCCCTAGTAGATAACAACTATCTTAAATCATTACAACATACTTTATCAAACACCAGTTCCTGATTTCCCTTCTTCCTTTAATTTAATGATAACTGTGAAAGTCCTCTAAACAACTGTCAATATCAGTAAAATTTTGTAAAAATATCAGTGTCAATTGTTTTAAAATGTATAAAAATAAAACTTAGTAAATAGAAAAGAAGCAACCGAATGTCCAAAGATAATTAAATTAGCAAGCTAATATTTGAAGTGAAACCTTGCTATGAAGCCCCTACTGCTGGCTTCTCGCATCATAAGAAAATTAGTCTTGGGCGCAGACGAATCAGCGTTGCTACGACTACGAGTTTACTGAGTAGGAATCAGGCTGATTAGAATATATAGGACTAAGCTAAGTACCTATAAGTTACAAGTTCAACATTGGTTTAATATATTTTTGTGTGTTCATTTGAAGAAGATCGATATCATAAAATATACAAAATAATCATACCTATTATCTGCAAATACGATATCATTGAGAACGTCATTGAAATCACGCTCCATTTTTATATAAAATACGCTTTAAACCAGTATTATCACTCTTCTCTTTAATATCAAGAAAAGCCGCACGTAATTTTCCCTGATATCTACCTCGTAATATTATCAAAAGACGTCGCTTTATAAAATAATGTGGCTTTGATGTTATCTAGAAATAACAAATTAAGGAAAGCTAGTCTGTCTTAAAAATACACAAAATCTAGATAAAAAAATTTCAGTGTATTTAATGAATAAAGATTCGTTGTCCACATTTTAAAAATGTATATGATGTAAAGAATGATAAGTTAAACTGTATTTTAGGTTGTGTGATATCTGCTTGAAGGCTAAAATTCACAAAATAAATTTCATCTTTGCTTTTACATAGATATTAGAATTGGGTTTATAAACTGAATACAATCACGAAAAGAGTATATTATTATGTCTCTGGTCGTTAGTTAATTTTCCGTATAATTTCTTTCCGAAGAATCTTTAGCGATACAAGTTCTTTCTTAAATAAAACTGGTTTATTCTTTCTGAATACAACTCTGCAATACACTTAATTTCCACAGTCGCGCTATAACAAACCCTATAATTCACAACTAACGTCTCACGTGCTCGACTCAACAATACGCCTCTCTCTGTCCGCAGTTCAATTACGCATTACCTTCTCGCCGTCGCTTCTTGGCGGCTTATATATACAAGACTACCGCATATCTAGTAGCCTCTCGAGACTTCAGGAAGGGGCAGGATCCTTCTAGAAGTTCATGACGTGTTACTAGCGTCACGTGACTTTCGCTGTCGTATCACTGCCCCTTCCTTAGTATTGTTTGTCCCGAACAATAGCCACTTACATCAAACCAACAAACAATTAACAATAACTTAATTAAATGTACAGAATTTACAAACACAAAATTAACAAGATAATGTCTTGTCTGTTGGCATGCACCACTTTTGGCTTACCTCGCCGACCACATTTTATCAGGAAAGTCACGTCTGAGAGATGATCCACTATGTCATATGGGCCTTCCCATGGAGAAGACAACTTAGGAGACTTCCCTTTGGTCTTCCTGGAATTATACAACCACATCTTGTCTCCTGATACAAAACTGACTTCGGTAGATCTCTTATCATAAGATAACTTCATCGAATCAGCAGACGTTTTCAAGTTTGAACGCACTTGATGGTGAATATCATCCATCATTTCCGATAACACTTTCACAAACTCTGACACATTTTCAGGCAACTCTTCATAACGTGGGCGTCCTGTTAACAGATCCACTGGCAACCGAAGTTCCCGACCAAACATCAACTTTGCTGGTGTGTATCCAGTGGCTTCATGCTCTGATTTAATATCTATACCTGGTTCCATTTCACCATCATCAACTCATTCAGTCACTTTGACTTCAGC